GTCTCCCCATCTGACCCCGTCCCCATCTGACCCCGTCTCCCCATCTGACCCCGTCCCCCCCTGGCTGCCGTGGCTCAGGTGCCACGTGAGAGCCACTTCTCTGTGGGCACCGCCCCGTGGTGCAGAGGGGATGTGGTGGTTGCTTCTTGGTCAGACCTCTCTGGTTCCCTCCATCCCTACCCTCGTGCTTGTTCACGTTTTTCTCTGCAGTTAACACGCTGGGGTGACAGGTGGGTTTTGGGGGCTGGTGGTACTCCCCCCAGGCCAAGCCTTCCAGAAGCCCGTAGTCCTCCTTGATTCTGAGTCCCCGGGTCTGCTGTCCTCCACCCCTGCCTGTGGAGGAGGGGCTCCAGGTGCATGAGGGCCCCGCCGGCCCCTCCCGCCCTCACACGCTCCCTCTGCTGTCTGAGCAGCCTCCCTCCCACCCTGGCCTGTAGCCGCAGCCCACACTTCAGGGCTCATGTCCCCCGTCTGTCACCACTTGCTGGGCACTAGGGACAAGGGGGCTGGGAACGGGCAGCCAGTCGTCCTGGTGGGTGCTCATGGGGATGTCCTCTGGGGCACAGGTCTGACCTTCTCACTCCTTTTCCACACATCAGAGGCCACCTTTGCATGCGATTGTGGGGGCACGGTGGCACTGCCACCCACCCTCCCCTGGTGCCTGCACCTCCCTGTGGCCACCTGGGCACTTCTGGCTCCACAGCCTCCTGGTCCCCCAGCTTCAGGGCAGCCCAGGCTCCGTCCACGTGACAAGCACACCTGTGTCCTCCCTGGGTGTGCCTCCTGTCCCCGCGTCGAGGGGCTGGGCCGTGTCCCTGCTGCCTCCTCAGGCGACCAAGGCTGGATGCAGGCTTTGGGGCAGCTGCCTGGCGAGGTTCCCTGTGCCTCGAGCTGGGCCGGACCAGCCCATGAGCCTTGGGCCATCCTCCCCGGTGGACAGCACTGCTCAGCCTGGGGCTGGGCTGGGCCATCTGTGTCCTTGACGGCACGTGCTCCCTGGCTGCGGCTGGGAGCTCCCGGATCTGGTGGCTGCTGGGAAGAGGCTGCTTGGTGGGATGTGCTGTGAGCGGCTTGGGGTCATGCTGTGGGGTCCAAGGGCCCAGGGACAGGTTGTAGAGGAGGTATCTGAAGGGGGGCCCAGGGTTCCTGCCTCCTCTGACCCTTCCTACCTGCCCCTGCCAGAGCACCTGGGAGAACCCTGCAGGTTGGCCCTGGCGTGGACCCTGCTGTCCGGGGGCTCCTGGGGGGCTCGGTGGAACCCAGTCCTGCATGTGGCCCCTTTGGTCCACAAGACCCCATGCTGGGCATCCACGTGGGCCTGGGCCAGGCCTGAGCCTTCTTTCTGCTGTGCCCCCAGTGCCCAGCCCCAGAGCCAGGGTCACCACGCTGTCCAACCCCATGGCGGCCTCGGCCTCCAGACGGACCGCGCCCCGAGGTACCGTACCATCCACTCAGGCTGTCCCCACACCTGGCACAGATGCCCCGTGTGACTGAGTCGTCGTGGCACTAACGCCCCCCCACGCCTGCCACTAACGCCCCACACAACAGACGGGCATAACCCGCCCTCCCACAGCCCTGGGCACTAACCTGGCACCCAGTCCTGCCCCTGCCCCGGCACTGACGCAGGCTCAGCCCCTCAGGGTCCTGCTGGCCTCCCCGCCTCCCCGGGAGCTCAGCCCCAGGTAAGTGGTGCCCGGCCCAGCTCGGGGGCTGACCTGGTCTCTCCGTGCAGGTAAATGGGGCAGCGTTCGGGCCAGCGGGCGCAGTGGTGGGCTCGGTGGTGATGTGGGCTCCCGGCTCGCAGGCAGAGACATGCGGGGGCCCCCCCAGGCGAACGGGGCTCCCCCAGACTCGGGCTTTCCGCGGCCCCAGCGTGCAGCCCTCTACATCATTGGGGACAAGGCCCAGTTCAAGGTGACTGGTCGGGGCGTGGGGCCGGGTGGGGCCTGGAGCCGGGCAGGTCTCACCGTGTGCCCTCCTCCAGGGCGTGCGACCAGACCCCCTGCAGCAGTGGGCACTGGTGCCCATCGAGATGTTTGAGGCCCGGCAGGTGAAGACCAGCTTCAAGAAGCTGCTGAAGGCATGTGTCCCGGGCTGTCAGGACTTCGAGTCCGGCCCCACCTTCCTGCGCTCGCTGGAGGATTCGGAGTGGCTCACCCAGGTCTGCACTGTCCCTGCCCCCACTGTGGCCGAGGGCCATCTGGGGGTGAGGAGATGGGCAGGGGCTGTCGGGCTCCCCCGGGTGCTGGGCCCTTCACTCACTGCTGCCAAGGGCAGAGGAGGTCTTGGCTCACTTATCCAGCAGGATTGGGCCCTGGGAGGGAGTGATGGCCACTTCCCACCCCGGTCAGGGCCACTGCTGTCCTTGGCGGGGTGCTGTGCATCCCAAGGACGGGCCCCCTCTCCAGTGCTGGGGGCTGGGGAGGGCGGGAGGCAGCAGGGGTCGGCTGTTCGTCGCTGTGCCTACCTTGCCGGCTACCCTGGGTGCATTGCCCACCTGGCTGCCCTCCTGGGGACGTGTGGGTCCCGGGCTGGTCGGGGCTGGTCTGAGGCTGCTGGTCCCTGCAGATCCACAAGCTGCTGCATGTGTCGGTGATGGTGGTGGAGCTCCTGGACTCGGGCTCCTCCGTGCTGGTGAGCCTGGAGGACGGCTGGGACATCACCACGCAGGTGGTGTCCCTGGTACAGCTGCTCTCGGACCCCTTCTACCGCACACTGGAGGGCTTCCGCCTGCTGGTGGAGAAGGAGTGGCTGTCCTTTGGCCATCGCTTCAGCCACCGGGGGGCCCACACCCTGGCCGGGCAGAGCAGCGGCTTCACGCCCGTCTTCCTGCAGTTCCTGGACTGTGTGCACCAGGTGAGTGGGTGGCTGTGCTGGAAGGCTGAGCCCCCGGGTCCTGGTCCCTGGCTCCTGACGCCTAACCTCTGACCCTGCACAGGTCCACCTGCAATTCCCCATGGAGTTCGAGTTCAGTCCCTTCTACCTCAAGTTTCTTGGCTACCACCACGTGTCCCGCCGCTTCCGGACCTTCCTGCTGGACTCGGACTATGAGCGCATTGAGCTAGGTAGGGTGCAGGAGGTGGTCGGGGCAGGGTG